AAGTTTTTGAAGGAGCTAGAGCTTGGGTGACTCCCGTATTTGTGATTGGAATGTAGAGGGTTGTGGTTGTCTACTGAAGCGCCGCCAAACATGACGCAAGAGAAGTTCGCCAGGTAGAAAAGCGTTGTCGATCCTTGGTTTGAGAGCGGGGAAGACGACAACGAAGTCTTTCGTCCAGATTGTCGTCGTGGTGGAATATTCCTACAGCATTATTGGTCAGACGACGGAGATGGACTGGACTAGCGACTCAACTGCTGGCGCAGGAGAAGCCCGAGCTCAGGCCGGGTTATGTACCAGGGAGAGGCTTATTGAGGCTGTTGCGGTCGGTGAGAGGCTCGGCGTATGCGCCTGAGACCTCATGTGGTTGCTGTTCGGGATGGCGGGCGGGGCGGGAGAGAATGATGCTGAGAGAGGTCACGGTCGTGTGACACACGACCGTGACCCCTCTCAGCACACGTCCTTCTCCTAGGCCTTCGATCTCGCATACGGTGATGGTGCCAGCTGCATACAGCGGTCCAGCCTAAGGCTTAAGGACCCACCAGCTCATCACCGCGGTCGGCTATCTGATCAACAATTTCAAGTATCGACAGACTGACGACAGTGGATTACATGATTGGAGGCGTTGTAGCCAATCACGTAAGCAACGACCGCAGACACCACAACCAATTTTTTTGGCCTTCCGTCCATTATAACTTGCTATTCAAACCTCAAACCAGACTTTTCTATGCCGACTCGATGGCTGCTTGTCGAACTCAAGAACTGCTACACCGGTGCTAAAACTCAAGTATGTTGGCGGGTTGTCGCTCTTACTGATTGTCCGACGCGTCTTTGGCGTGGAGACTGGGCAGCATATACCGGGCTGCATATGTCTACCTATCCATCGCCTCAGATTGCATCCAGCCCCGAACTTGAGCTCAAAGTCGCGTCGCCAGTGGGTCCGACATGTACTATCAAACCTCTTCTTCTCCTTCATCAGGCGTCCTACGCTGCGGAGGTCTTCCGGTCTTGCCGCTCCCAACGGCTAATCAACACCCGGGCCCAGATAAATGCGTCTTGCGTGCGCTTGAAGGCACGGCGGTACTCGTCATTTCCACTCGACTCACTGCAGCATGGAATCAGAAGGCGCATAAGACGGGTAAATGGTCACGAAGGGATGTGATTTGGAGAGAAAACAAGTTTCTCGGGCGCTGATGTGGTGCGCATTCACCGACGCTTGGAATCAGCGGTCGCAAACAGAACGCTCCAGTCTTTTTGTTTTCGTTATTTGGCTTCTACATTGATGTATGGTAGGCATTACATTGCGTGTGGATATATATCCTTCCTTCCAGAGACTGACCCTGGATTGATGTGATTCTTCCTTAGAAGAGTGGATTTGGGACTCCGTCTCTCCATCGTTGGAATCACCAATGTTCTGAGATTAGTCAATCAAGGGGGAAAATAGTGCTGTTGAAAATAACTACACACATGATCTGGAGCGTTATTTACTGGATTGCGGTGATTTCCGATTGGTGACGGAAACTTGACAAAATCAGTCTATATCGTAGTCAAGGACAGCCTGAGGACTACTCAACTGGTTTCGCAGACCGGATTCTCTGTGAAGTTGCCTGAATATAATGGTTTCCGCTCAGCGCTAGCAATCGGGTTTGATGCCAGACAATTCAGTGTTCATGCGGGTTTGCGACCGAGTTTTCTGTACATCATTATGATCAGTCAGTGTGGTTCGTCAAAAACTCACGAGACTGACTACAAGTTATGCGCCTCGGCGTCTTGATCAGTTGGAAACTCGACGTAGGACCCATCCTGACTCGGACATTCAGTGACCATCGCCAGACCGCGTGCTCGTGTTTGTTTAACCGAAGGCTGGAATGAGAGAGACCTTATGTCGTGACGATTTTGCGGTGCCCTCCGAACGGTACTTCGATGATAACCCAAAGCCCACGCTAGCCGTTCTTGAGAATACTGTACTTCACATGCCAGCCTTCGAGCGATTGCGCGGTCAGTCTGGGCCAAGACACAATTTTTAGCGCCAAGTCTGGCGGTTCTGGAGTCCTATGAGCAGCCATCGTTGAGATCCACAGAAGACAGGTGCAGTTTGACTTGGATTTTGGGGACGTAGCTCGGTTGCTTACGTGATTGGCTACAACGCGTGTATAATCCGCCGTCAATGCTCGAAATTGTTGGACGGATAGTCGGCCGCGGTGAGAAAGTTGCGAGAATGAGCTGGTGGGTCCTTAGGCTGGGCCGCTGTATGCAGCTGGCACCAGCTGAGATCGAAGGAGAAGGACGCGTGCTGTCACACATTTCATTTACATGCTGTCACAATTGCTGTCCCACATTTCTCTCGCCATTCCGGACAGCAACCACATAAGGTCTCAGGCGCATACGCCGAGCCTCTCACCGATCGCAACAGCCCCAGCCCCAACAAGTTCGGGCTTCTCCTGCGCCAGCAGTTGAGCTGCCAGTCCAGTCCATCTCCGCTGTCTGACCAACCTTGAATAATGCTTTAGGAATATCCTCTATCTCTCCCTTTAGCAAATCGATGTGGCGGCTCGACAAGCATCCCAACTGAAAAACGCCCAACGCCCCGCCTAGTTCATCCCTAATCCTTGCGGCCCGACCCCCCACACAGCCAAGAACAAATATCGATCCTAGATGTCTTCACCCCTTCCCAGCAGCCGTCCAACAAATTTCTCCCCTTCAGACGCGTTCCTCCATGTGGATGAATAGAACAGCACACTTCTCGGCACGAATGAAGGCTGGCAAACCAATATCCTCAAACGACGCAGGAAACACGACTGTTCGTGTCCATGCTGAAGCCGATTCCGACTCCGATGGACGGTGGGAAGAAAAATACCCACTTCGACTGCATTCCATACCGGTACGTCCTTGCTGTCTGGGATAACATGTGGCTTGAATGGCTCCAGAATTACGAAGAAAACCAGAACGACTCTTTCTCGAGACGAATCATCGAGTAAGTTATTTCCTCTATCTGGCATCTCGCTGACGAAGAAGCGGCAGCCTAAATACCTCAAGTTTTGTGAAGATACTGGATTCATATCGATGCTACCAAGTGACGCTGCCCAGCGCCGGGAGGCCGCGAAGATGAAACAAACGACGCTGGATGGTGTAGCTGTTGAGGACTCAACATGGCGCCACCGCTCTCTGTCATCTTAGCAACGATTCAGCAACGATAGACTTGTTCAGCTGGCGCTACGTGCGTGATCTGTTTCCCAAAACTCATCTGGCTGAAGGAAACACTCGTCGATATGATGGAGATGGCTGCTCGAGCACAGGATCAAGTTACGGAACGCACGATTGACACACCAGCATATCCTCGACAATTCGCTCAATATATCCGCGACACCCGCAAGGAACTGGCGGTAGATTTCCGTTGATTCCAATCAACATTGGCTCACTTACCGCAACAAAACGTACCAGCCTTGTTTGTGTCTCTCGACTGCGATTCCTAGAGTGCCCGGAATGGCGACAGCTTCAATGCCCACTTCAAAATAGTAGCTTGAGCACATGCGATCCGCACCAACTCGACACTCACCTCCTAACATCCACTGATGATGTCTCGGGAAAGATTTGAGAGGCGGTCTCTAAAGTCTCAAACAAGCTCGACAAGTACTGCCAAATTTGGAATAGAGGCGAAGGTAGCCCCCCCCCCAAATCTTGGCCGATATCTTACGTATCTCATAGGCATAAGATATGCGCTCTCATAGCTCTTCTAAAACGATTTTCGTTCGACATGTCACCATATACTGTCAAGCACGACTTGGGCGAATATTGCTCTCCAGGCTCACAGGTAAGAGACTCTGGTAAACCTAATTCCAATGCTTAGAGGCTCGACGGTTATATTCCTCCACCCAACTCAAACCGATTGCTTAAATATATCTGTCACAAGCTTATGCCGTATGATCGATGTCCCCTTCCCGGTCCGAACTCGGTCAAGAATTAAGTTTTTTCTGAACCAACCAATCCCCCAAATTCGGACAAGCGACCAACTCTGGGATGCACGCCCTCCTGCGCCGTAAATTCCTGTTACAGTACCCTTCAAGCAATGCAATATACATTTCACCCTTCCCTTGCCATTCATAAGCGTCCGTTTCTGCTGAGCCCATCTTTTTGGTAACTATGAGACGATTCTTTGCAATACTTCATACTTTTCCATAGCTTGGCATACGGCAAAAGCGCATCCGCAGTGAAAGGGAATGGAGCGGAATCCGAGACTCTTTCCCGGGCTGGCGATAAGGAGGAAGACATATCAGGCAGGAATATGCGAGTCATCTTGGATTCGTTCAACATGCGGGTGTGTTCCTTTAATGTGCTGATTCAAGGTTAAATATACTTCCGAATTGCCGCGCGCTCATGCACTTCCAGCAAAACATCCGCATTCGAAACCAACCAGGCTACTTCGAACTGGCTTTTCGGAAGGAACGGGTAAAGTTGGGTCGATATCCATATCGTGCCCAAACTCTTTGACAAAACCAATCTTTGGGTTGTACATACTTGAGCAGCCGGCTCAGGTCACGTTACGTGTCGAATGCCCCAGCTCAGCCAGCTGCCTGTTGGCGGGTGGATTCAGAGTCTGGCTATGATTATTACGGAGATTCATTTGAGAGACCCGTGGTCACTATACGACTCGGAGTAAGAAGACAATACGGAGCGAGAACTACCGAACGCCTTGATCACCGACGTGCGGGTATTAGCAGCCTCTTAAGTATCTCCATCCTCTCCATGCAGCTTAAGTCTTGCACACTCAACCCAACGACACCCGTCAAAATCGCTCTTGCAGTCTTTTCCCTTGTTGCCTCTCTCCATTTTGGTTTTCCCGGAGCGGCCTTCACCAAATATTCCGAGAAAGTGGCAGAGTTGCGTTGTTATAGTCGGAGATGACCGACAGGAGAGCGATCGACGTCATTCCCAGTACTGTGACGAATTATTGATCACAATGTGACTACTTACAGTCGCTCAGGGCTGCGCGCCACTCAACGACAATGGCTGCCCTGTCGAACGGCAATACCATTCACGCACTCGATGATACCCTGCTCTCAAAAAGCAAGAAATCCAATGGATCAGACACCAGCGAGACAGCGAAAACTTTCCCCTCAAACGCTACGAAAAAGTTCCTGGCAATCAAGGACGGCTACATAGATGGTTTTCGGCTCACTCCGCCATATCATCTGGCCTGGGGGAGAAATAAATTGACCCTCAAGTCCAGTGAAGGACCTTCACAAAAGGCCACCCGCACTGACAAGATTTTCATGTCTTCCGAGGCAGCCAACCTCAAGGTGCGCCTCAATATCACAATTGTCTCCGTTAATCCCAAGCTAGTACATGGAGTTTGACGAAACCTCCGACCAAGTTTTCATCCTCAGCCGATACTCAAGGCGACGTAACAGCGATCTCCAGCGCTTTGCGACCACAGATCTCAGGGAGATATTCCCAGTCACACCAGGTCTGTATGAGGCAATTGTCTGCTTTAATCATATTTACTCTCACAGGAGCATCCCGAGACAAAGTTACAATTGCCGTCAATTTGGGGAAGCCTTTTCGAGGCCAGTATGAAGAATTTATGGTATGGATGAAACGGCTGGTTGACAAGAAAAGTGTAATGCGGTGAGTCTTTCTACGTCTTTGAAATCCCAAAATTTCCCACCTGTCAAATAGCGTCGGCGGTATGGCCGTCGAAAGTGTATGGAAAACGATACAAACGCGCAATGCTGAGAGGATTAAGGGCGTTGATTTAGCTGTAATACGGAATGAGGAGGACGAATCCGACGACGAGCTGGGAGGATGGAACGATCACCTTTCGGTGGACAAGATCTTAAAACCCCCAGCTCAAGAATCGGGGCAACTATCCTCCGTCGTTTATCTGGAGCCCGATGCTCGCCTTTCTGTCTCACAGACCAGCTGCGTCATTGGTGCCCAGAGTCATAACAACTCTGAAGCTATCTCAAAATTGCGTCCCCCACCAAATTCGACAGGGGAGTCTGAGTTCGGCGATCAAATCGCATCCGATCCCGATTCCAAAGTGTTACGCCCATAAAATATGCTTTGGAAACCTGCTGATATCTGGCTTTCAGACTATCCTCGTTTATCCTTCTGGCCAGACTGGGGCTATTAGCATCACAAAGGGCGACCTGATACGCCTTCAACCTAATGGCCTTCTCAACGACACTCTCATCGAGTTTAGTCTCAAGTAATGTCTCTTTGACGGTTATTTGATTCACTGCTCATTATAAGACTAGGCTCTGGATGCACCGGCTTGAGCAGGATGATGTCGAAATTAGCGAAGGAGATCCACATTTTCAGCTCGTTTTTCTACAAGAAATTAGAACAGCGGGAGTGCGTTTGAATATAGATAATGGTTCTGTCTCATGATTCCAGTCACAGGCTACAGGAAAGCTACGCTAGTGTTGCTAAATGGACCGCCAAGTTCGACCTCTTCAAGAAGAAATACCTTATTGTTCCTATAAATGAAAAGTTGGTATCTTTCAAATTCATTCCTGACTGGTAACGAATCTAGTCTTCACTGGTATCTTGCTATCATATACCACCCAGAATGTGTCTTGAGGCCAGAACCGCCATACATCAAAGCATCACCTTCGTCTTACAGCGAATCAAGAATGCGAAGACCAGATTCCAGCTTGAAAGCAACAACTATATCAGAGAAGTCTACCTTTGAGGATATCAATATCGGGTCGCACTGGCAGCCACTCTCGCTATTGGATGATCTGGATGTGGACGAGCCTATGGAGGTAGATTTCTCGACCGAACATGTTGGAAATCAACAGAGGTATGGTTGCTATCGTGCAGTACAGTGAGAAAATACCTCACAATTTGTTAGCACCTATATTTTTACTCTTGACTCCCTGGGGTCAAGTCATTCAAGAGTGGGAAGCCTTCTGGGTAATTATCTGCGGCAAGAAGCATTGGCCAAGAAGAATATCCCAGAGACTGGGTTAAGCCAGGCAGTATACAAACATGCGCTGGTTCGTTAACTTTTGTAGGTATGATGGCTGCTCATTGTTTATGTTTAGGTTCCACAGCAGCCCAACTCCTGCGATTGCGGTCTTTACCTTCTTCATTTCGTCCAGACCTTCTTCGAGGATCCCGACAAATATGCCAACATAATAAGGGTGGGTGTTTGTTCCGACCCTAGTCTGCCCATTCTGATTTGCAAAGACCAGGACCAGCGCATATCCTGAGGCGGATCGGCGGGCGGACTGGAAAGTGAAAGGAATCGCGGACATGCGCGAAACGCTCAGGTCCAAGATCAAAGACCTGTCAATCAAATGGAAAAGAGAGAGCGTCGTCAATGAGCTCAAGAAGCAATGGGACTCTGCGGCCGTTAGCTACTCTTCTGAGAATGATAGTGATGTTATGGGAACTGCGTCGGTCGAGCCACATGGGGCGGCGCCTCATTTTCACACTACTCAATAATTGTGCTATGGACAGATGAAATACACTTGCTGAGAGATAGTAAAAAATTACAACTTGTTTTTTTTTTTTGCACTCAGTATTCGTTGCCTTATTATCAATCATGCTTCGAGTTAACTGGCGGGTAATATCCCCTATGACACCAGCGAAGATGTGTGAATTGATGTCTTAAACTAGGAGAAGTCATTGCCTTCGGGAAAGAGTCATATTATACATCTGCTCCATCCTATCTAATCATGAGCTATGACGAAACAGGCTAGTTTTCAATCAAGACACCAGAAGAGCAAAAGGTTCTATGTAGATTCTGCGAGTTTCTGGTGGCCACCTGGCGCCGCTCGTTAGTGAAAAGCGGTGCAAAAGAAGGCGGGAAGGAACCAGAGGAGGGAAAGGGGAGGGAAAACTAGACTAGACTCAACTCCAGTTAACTATTCACAACTCAGCAGTTTACTAGTAGTGCAAGCTAGCAGCAGCAGGCTAGCACATGAGCGTTACTCGACGCGTCTTGTCTACAAACGACACTGGACGCGCCTCTGCTGGCCGCGTTTTGCCCACGCGGCTTTTGGGTGGTCCGACTCCCTCGGTCACTCAGAGGGTTTGCGTCGCGTGGGGCATCTTTGCCTTGGCGCTTTCGAGTTCCAGTTCCCGGAGCGATTTCGGGCCCACCCCGACACAGTACTGCGACGGGTCTCCCGTTACCCACCATCAACAGTTATCGTTGACACTGGCCTGCTCAGAGGCAAAAAGCAGCCTTATCAATCCCACATACAAAGTGTTGGTATGCACGCGTAATGTGACGAGCACGTGCAAGCGATCAGTGCGTGACACTCATCTTTCTTCCTTTCACGACCTTACACAAAGACAGGTAGGAGGTGCTTGTACAGCTGCAGCCGTAACAGTAACATCTTGGCCCTCAGGCTCTCATGTTTGGACCTATCTTCGGCCGTACACCCTACACCAAACAGGGCACCATCAAGCATGGCGGGGGCATTATGTGCCTTGAGACCTCATCTAACGGCAAGTATCTAGCGACTGCAGGTACGACAGCGGCACACCTTTCCAGGCGATGTGTATTGACCTGGCCTAGGGTTTGAAGGGACTCGGGTTTGGGATACTTCCACCACGATGGAGATTTCTCGGCCTGCGCCGCCTGGGGAACGCGGTCCTTCGTGTTCTCTGCTATGGGTCCGTCAGATAGACCAAGTCGACGAAATCCTATGGTTTGGGACCCAGAATGGTTTTGTCTCTGCCTGGCGTCACAATCCACAAGGAGTGCGTCAGTGATAGCTTCGTTTCCTCGACTGACTCCTTGCTAGCAATTTGAAGAAGTATTCATGATGGCGATGGAGGACTCTGCTGAGATCACCTGTCTGGCTTACGAACCAGTTAATAACCGCTTAGCCTTCGGTAATCGACAAGACCGCGTTCATTGTTGGACCATATATGCACCCAAAGAGGGAAAGTGGCAAAGCACTCACCTTTTCACTGTCAAGATAGTCGCTCCAGGAGCGATTGATTTCAGCAACAACGCAAATGAAGCGGAGCGGGGAATAATCGTTTATGGTTCTGTGACGCCTGGCCGTGTGTAAGACAAAATTTAAAAGTTGGTCACCTCTCACCTCCCCAAAAGTTCAGTGTTGGAAGGTGCCACTGGCGACATTAAGAAAATATGGGATGTGGGTGCAGGGATGTAAGTAATAGTTCGCTGGTTGAACGGAACTGAGGCGCTGTTTAGCGGATTCCTTGCTTCCAACAACAGCGTGTACGCGCTAGGGGACATGAGATCTGGCCCGGTCATATACCGATATTCGGATGACGTTCGTACTCAAACTCTCAACGTCCCGCACACACGCCGAATGGTTTCGACCCTATCAAATTCGCTGGGCCGACCAAGGTGCCACAGTTGTCTCCGGAAGTGATCACGGCAAAGTGTATGTATTTGACTATAACACGGGTGAAAGGGAGCAAACGATTGCCGTCGCAAAATCTGGTGAATGGGTCCAGGCTGTCGCTGTGAGTATTTGCCTCCGTATAAGTATTCGAACGATAGGTCAATGCTTTCGCTAGGTTGCAGATGTCAAAGGGGTTTCCACCATTTTCGCCGCGCAAAGTCGTATGATCGAAGGCAAGGAAGACATCATCCTGTTCAAAAGGTCACGAACAGTTTGGTATACTCTGTTTATGGACCGAGTATTTTGGCCCTTGATGGTGTTGGGATTCCTTGCAGCCGTTGTCCAAAACTTGATTGTGCCCTACGTTCGAGTGCCAGGCCTAGCCGGCACTGAGTATGGACAATACGCGGAGAGGCAAACTCGAGGAGCTCAACGCGGACAATATGCGGAGAAGGAAGCTCAAGGCAAGGGGAAGGAGGTTGGAAGGCCATACATAAGTGTTATTCGCTATTAGAAGTGACGGTGTTGTCAATCGCCGATGTAGTTGGAGAGAGAGAGGAAGTACGATTTATGAACAGGACTACTGTTGCAGCCCCGTAACATCGCTTTACTCCCCTCCTACCCGTGTATGACTGCGTTGAAGACCGTTGACATTGGCGAGTCATGAAGCGTCCAGATAGAGTAGAAGCCATAAGTTGCGGAAGGAGCCAGCGAGCTCAGTTCGGATATGCACATGGGAGAGGCATGGTGGGCCGTGGCGGTCGCTGGGAGGCTTGGCGTATGCGCCTGAGACCTCATGTGGTTGGTGTCCGGAATGGCGGGCGCGGAGAGAGGTCGAGTCACACCTGATTCAAATTTGTGACAGCACGCGTCCTAGTCTGTCCTTCTGCTTCGATCTCCCATGTTCATGGTGCTGGTGCCAGCTGCATACAGCGGTTCAGCCTAAGGCCTAAGGACTACCAGCTCATCACCGCGGCTGGCTATCTGTCCAACAATTTCAAGTATCGACAGCGGATTACATGATTGGAGGTGTTGTCGCCAATCACGTAAGCAACCGAGTTCCTGATTACTCTCTGACCCCCAAATCCAAGTCAAAATGCACCTATATTCTATGGATCTCAATGATGGCTGCTCGCAGGACTCAAAAACCGCCAGACGCAGCGTCAAAATCGTGTCTTGACACCACGCAATTCTCTCGCCGGCTGGCGGTTGAACTGCAGTATTCTGGCGACAAATCGTTGTGCGACTTGTGTGCTAATATGTTGATGGCTAACCATAGCTAATCCAGCAAAAAGCGGCCGTCCACCCGCCGCCACGAACCCGGTTCATGAAAACAAAAGCCAGTCCGTAATCAGAAGGTCTGTATCTTTTGGGAGATATTCATAGCCGCTGACGACAACTCCCACTCATTCCAGCCTTCGATCAAATAAAAGCGGGCGCGGGTCTGTAAATGGTCACCGAATGAGTCCTACGTTGGTGCGGGATAAGACTTGAAAGACTACCAAACCATATGGTGCGAAACTTGAAAATTGGCGGTTTGGTCTTGGGACAAAAACACATGCGGCGCCTACAATCAATTCTACAGAAACAGCTAGGCTTAAGTCGTCTACTGTACTGGTGTGTAGAATCAAGCCTTGGATTCCACATCAGTAGTATTGATCTGATTTTGCGCTCGAAAATGGGAGAATTCTTGTCATTAACATCGTCAGACAGGATACATTCCGTTTGTTTACACTTGAGACTCTTCTTTGCTGAAGGGCCATCCTGCTCCTTCTCATCTTGATTAAGCTCCTCCTGTAAGCGCTCACAAGTAGTGCCAATGCAAACAAGCTTGTGGTGTAGGGCCTGTAAACTTGAGCGCGAATTATCAATCTTAGTAGGAACCATCAAAAGTGAGACGAAGGAGGTTCACCTGCATCGGTGTTTGTTTGATTTCCTGCCAAATCGGAGCATTCAACCACTTTTTGCGACTACCAAGACTGGAGCGTTCTGTTTGCGACCGCTGATTCCAAGCGTCGGTGAATGCGCACCACATCAGCGCCCGAGAAACTTGTTTTCTCTCCAAATCACATCCCTTCGTGACCATTTACCCGTCTTATGCGCCTTCTGATTCCATGCTGCAGTGAGTCGAGTGGAAATGACGAGTACCGCCGTGCCTTCAAGCGCACGCAAGACGATTTATCTGGGCCCGGGTGTTGATTAGCCGTTGGGAGCGGCAAGACCGGAAGACCTCCGCAGCGTAGGACGCCTGATGAAGGAGAAGAAGAGGTTTGATAGTACATGTCGGACCCACTGGCGACGCGACTTTGAGCTCAAGTTCGGGGCTGGATGCAATCTGAGGCGATGGATAGGTAGACATATGCAGCCCGGTATATGCTGCCCAGTCTCCACGCCAAAGACGCGTCGGACAATCAGTAAGAGCGACAACCCGCCAACATACTTGAGTTTTAGCACCGGTGTAGCAGTTCTTGAGTTCGACAAGCAGCCATCGAGTCGGCATAGAAAAGTCTGGTTTGAGGTTTGAATAGCAAGTTATAATGGACGGAAGGCCAAAAAAATTGGTTGTGGTGTCTGCGGTCGTTGCTTACGTGATTGGCTACAACGCCTCCAATCATGTAATCCACTGTCGTCAGTCTGTCGATACTTGAAATTGTTGATCAGATAGCCGACCGCGGTGATGAGCTGGTGGGTCCTTAAGCCTTAGGCTGGACCGCTGTATGCAGCTGGCACCATCACCGTATGCGAGATCGAAGGCCTAGGAGAAGGACGTGTGCTGAGAGGGGTCACGGTCGTGTCACACGACCGTGACCTCTCTCAGCATCATTTCTCTCCCGCCCCGCCCGCCATCCCGAACAGCAACCACATGAGGTCTCAGGCGCATACGCCGAGCCTCTCACCGACCGCAACAGCCTCAATAAGCCTCTCCCTGGTACATAACCCGGCCTGAGCTCGGGCTTCTCCTGCGCCAGCAGTTGAGTCGCTAGTCCAGTCCATCTCCGTCGTCTGACCAATAATGCTGTAGGAATATTCCACCACGACGACAATCTGGACGAAAGACTTCGTTGTCGTCTTCCCCGCTCTCAAACCAAGGATCGACAACGCTTTTCTACCTGG